CTTGTGAAACTGAGATAATTTTCAATCAGTATCTTGTTGCTTTGAGGAGTTTATAATTAATTTCCTCTTTTTCCATTATACTTTTGCTTAAATGTTATCAAGAATGTGAAATGCCTCTTGTATATATTCCAGGGCTGTCAGTTATGTAAGTGCCATTCTTAGGTAAGTAACTGAATCTTTGTTTCTATTTTCTCCACTTATATTTTGCCCAAGCCTGTGCTATGTGAATTATTTGTGATGATTTCCAAGTGACTATCAAACAGCAAACACTTCTCTGTGTAATTTGTCTCCTTCAGTTTTCATTTTCTGATCAGATAATTAATTTGTCATTGTAGGAATTCTTAAGTAATAGTTACTGGTTTCCAAATGTTTATTTGCTGTCAAAACATTCAGTTGCTTCTATTTATTTTTTATGATTACCTGTTTTCATCAGTTTTAGAAAACTCATTATGAAAGTGTAGCTTATTACTTATACTAATATAAGTACCTAATATTAATAAGTGACCTTATTACAAGCAATTTAACCTTCTAAGACACTATTCTGTTGAAGAATTGTTGATAAGTCATAGTTACAAGTGAAAGATCAGGAAACTGAGGATCTCAGATTAGGTTCAATAAAATAATTCATTGAAGTGCATTTATATAAAATTCTTTTTTTTTTTTTTTGGTACTGGTAATTGAACCCAGAGGCACTTAAACACTGAGTGACATTCCCAGCCCATTTTAAATTTTTATTTAGAAACAGGGCTTTGCTAAGGTTTGAACTCATAATCCTTCTGCCTCATTCTCTCAGGCTGCTATGAACATATGCATGCACCACCAAGCATGGCTATATAAAATTTTTAATCAATCCTCGTCATTTTAAAATGATTATTTGTTAATAAGATTATGGGAAACAGTTACATTTTCCCTCAAAATCTTCAGTTTTGTATTTTAATACTGCAATATTTTGGAGTCATTTTGTGTCAAATGAATAGTTACTTTTGTTTATGGTCTGTAATATGTCTAGTCAATTGTTAACTAGTTGTTTGATTCTCCCTATCCCAAACCCAAGTGGGCTTATGATTTGATCCTCTTCCTCTCTCCTGCCCATATTATTTCTCCTAAAATACAAATCACGGCACATAACCTTTAAGTTTTGCCATATTTTAAAGCTAACTCTGTAGTAGGCAGGTACAGAACAGTTATCTCTGCCTGAATTCCTCTGCCATTTATGGATTGTCTAATGCTATACTAACACTCCTTTTTCTTTGTGCTTGGATTGTGTTACAATTTGGAATTGCCTAGTTTGCTATGGTATCCTATCACTTGAGATTGCACACTGGGGGAAGAAGGAAACAGAACAGGAGCCACATCTTCAGATTCCATGCCATGCAATCTGGCTGAAAACAATCCATATCAATGGGTTTTTGAATTATTTATGCTGCTGCATAATTGTTGGACTCCACACCTTGAAACCATGTTTGCAAAACATTTTGGGAAAAGTATTACAAAAACACATTTCTTGATGCAATTGAGTTTAGATAGACCCAGAAGTAGGAGCAATAATGTTGTCATTAATGGACTTTGAATTTTGTAGAAATCCAACATAAGCAATATAAAAGCCATTTTTACTTAATTGCTTTTGGTAATAATAATAAATATTTTGAAAGAAAAAAAAGTGAAATGCTAACTGCTACACACTCTTATTTTATTGCTAAATAAAATTTAGATAATTCCCTGAATGAAACATTTTTAAATGCTTAAGAGAAATTGAGCAAATGTATTCCCATCAGACATTTATTAAATCTATAATTATGCAAAATTATCTTTAATTATGGTACATAGAACATTGCATTTTCTTTATTCTCTAAGCATTTATAGTCAAAAAGGCATGACTGACATATATATGTTTTTTTTTGAAGTTTACTAAATAAAAAATACCGAACTAATACTTAAATTGGGGTGACATTTTATTACATGTTATATTTAATAGAAATAATTAGTCTAAGTCAGTGTACACAGTAGTATCACAGAGAACATAAAGGTAAAATGAACTTGTTTTTAAGGTATATTTTCTTCATTTTTAAAAGATAGAAAATGATTATTCTTGCTAAAAGAATCTTTATTCACCTCTTCTTTTTGTTTTACACTTGTTTCTTTTTTCATTATGTTTGTCATTTGGTATTTACTCTTTAAAATTTCATGAGTGTTAAGGACCGCATTTCCTTTTTGTGGTTGCATGAATTTGACATTTTGTAACAGAATTGCAGTGTCTGTCAATATGGAGTGTTGCTTTGCATAAATCTAAAATCCACTAACATCTGATCTGTTAGAGATGGCATGAAGAATTCTGACTCACATCACTGAAGTGATCTCTTTATCCTTGGGATTAATTACCTAACCAAGGAGTGCCTCATTGATAATGTGTTTGCATTAATGTTTCCTTAATTGTAATGTGACCTTTAATTCTATGCTCAACTTTTCATCTACTCAGGAATATTTTTTTTTCTGGATACATTTCAAATCTTTCTTCTTAAAGGACTGTTAAATTGTGTGCATCAGGTAGCCCCACAGTGCACGAACAGGTAGGACAGTCTTAGAATTTGAATGACTGAATTTGTATCTTCACCCCAGAACTTAAAATATGCATGTCTCTAAATCATTTGTAATTCCTCTCAAATTTTAATCAGAAGATGAAGAAAATGTTAATATTATGATAGAAGTTTGCAAGGATGAAATGAACCTAATAGGTGCAAAGCACATTGAATAATCTAGACATATTTAAGTGATCAGTGTTTGAAAGCTGGTGTTTTTGTTGTTGTTATTGTTGTTAATTTTCATACCACCCTCTACTGTTCCTGCATCCTCTTTGCCCTCCATGCTACATATGGCTTGATACCATTTCTTACTTTTTAGGTTTCTTCTCTCATTATTCTTTTTCATGACTTTGCATTCTATCATAGGTTCACAGCCCAGCTCTGCCATATTCCTGTTTGTGGTTACTTTGGGGTTCTTTAGTGGTGTGTTTAAGATATTCATTCTATTTACTTACAGCTGCAAACTTATTCTGTCAGTTTATCCTCTATTTCAGCTATCTTTATTGAATTGTGTTCGCTTTGATTTGTTCTGCAGAATGATCAATTTGTGCAGCATTGTCTTCTGTTCTTCACATTACGTGCCATTTAAAAGTTGGCATATTATTCTTATTGTCTCTATTTCCTACCCTTTTTTCCCCTCTCCTCTTTTCCTTTTTCCTCTCTTCAATCTGAGGTTTCTTTATATAGTTGTAATTGCATATACTTTTTGCTGACATTTCTTCTAACTATTTGGTTATTTGAACCCAGTTATGTCTATGTAGCATATCTTTTCTAAAACATCTATTTGCTGATATAACATGGGTGGAATCTCCTCAACCTCCTTCACTTGATATTATAGACCTGCTGGTCTCTCAGCTTTGCAGTAGAGGGCTGGGCATATTCTATGACCCAGATTCCTAAGATTGAGCATTCCCAGAGGTATTAGAAGGGATATCAGAGTAAATAAACAGGACTTGGCTGAGCTGATGATGGTCCTCAGCATTTTAGTGTAATTCTATTAAATACCTTCTAAAAGGATTCCTCAGGAAACAGTACTTGTGTGTGTAGAATATCTACAACATACTGCCCTGTTTTTGTAGGTTGTCTTGAGACATTTTCTCCTCCTCCACTTGTTACTAATACAGAGATAGAGATAGAGATAGAGATAGAGATTGACAGAGAGATGTGGGATATTTTTGCTACTTTCTTTATGAAATAATAATTGATTAAAAAAAAAACATGGGAAGGGAGATTATTGGCTTGTCTTTAATCAACCATTATTACCAGGAAGATAATTTAATCTTTTTAAACCACCAGATATCAACTATTGACAATGAAGAATTAAATCCTTCAAGAAAAACATGAATATAGAGAAATTCTTTTACTATGATTTCATTTATTGGTATGATTTGGAATAGCCTTCTAGAAATAATGGTTTTAAAATAAGCAGAATTCCAAAAATGAATTTTTCAACAACTTATCATACAGCTGAATATAGCTAGACTAGTTGACATTCCAATAGTATAAGAACCTGAATAGCTTAGATTCTGCAACTGAAAATACTGAATAAAAATCTAAGCACTGAATAATATATTACTTTAGTGATAGTCTTGCATATTTTTCATGAAAACTGATTTGTTTTAATTATTGTAGGCAGAAATATATCGGTCAGTCTGTACAATCTGCGCAAAATCTTATTGTCTCTATTTTTCTACAGCTTACATTTTGATGTTGGAAAGGTAATGGTGTTTGGGAGTGAATATTCCAGATTTTCTATGTTCACAGACTGGAATTCTCTTGTGCACATGAAATTTTCCAATAATTTCCAATTTTGCTTCAAAATATATGCATTCTCAAGCTAAACTCAAAGATATAATTAGCTAAGCAAAAGATTAATGAGATTTTTTTAAGACAAAGATTGCTTGCAGTACAAACTGTCTCTATGTAATTATAGTTTAATGTTTTGGTCAGGAGTGATTTTTAAAACAACAATTTAGTAGCAAATCATAACCCTTAATCAGTTAGAGCTGATCTATAGAAGCAAATTTCCAGCTTCAAAATGTTAGGATTTTTCATGAGAAGAAAGCGTATTGATTCATCAGTGATAATCCTCATTATTTTAATCACTGCTGTATAACATGTTTGAAAGGGTAGCCATGACTCCACTCTGATACAAACACTGTTGATTAGATGGGTGCAAAGTAATCAAAGTTAAACAGGGTGGCAGGTAATTCTATTCGCTCTGCTTTCCAGAATGTATTATTGTACAAGGCACCACGGCTCCAATATGGCTTACATAATGCTTAGAGCATAATAATGATTTTAAGTGAGGACACTCTTGCATTCGGGTTTGATTTACTGTTTGAGCCAGAATAACTTCTCTTCGGATGTCTGGAACAGCAGGTTGTCCACTAATGTGCATAGCAATGAGTTCTATTTTTAAAAGGACTGTTTCTCAGCAAGTGATATGTTTCTCAAAAGATTCCATACTGAAAATATTGTCTTCTGGAAAAATCCTTCAGAGGTTGCTTGTGTATTAACTCACAAACAACTAAACTGAGATGCTAAAATGGTTGGATTTTGTTTCAAAATGTATGACCTACATTGTAAAATTCCTTTTGAGAAGAATGAAAACTACAGTAACAAAATTAATGTTTGGTGTGGTTTTACTGCTAGGAGTTGCTTAAACATTTACAAATCGAATTAGATGGATGAGAACTCTGTAAGTATACTGTATAATATTGTTTTATATTTTCAATGTGATAGTATAAAAATTAGTTTCTACAGATTGCAGTGAGAATTTGTCCTTTGGGGGAAGAGTTTGCATGCCTAAATTTTGTTTTCTTTCTGGCTTGATAATTGTGTTTGCCAAATTGCTAATGCAAGAAACAGTCTTTATCCAGTGTGCGCGTGCACACACACACACAAACACACACACACACACATACGCATATATAAAAACTCAATTGGAGATATGAGTTTATCCTACTCTGCCATTCATGATGTTTTGTTGCTCTGAACTAAAATCATCTTGATTTTATTTTAATTTTTCTTTTTCACCTTACCTTCCTGTTTCCATTCCCTTCATCAATATATGCACCCACTTACATGTCAGGGAATACAACTGTATCATTGCAAACTGTCTAGAACTCACATCAGTATGTATGTTTAAGGTTAGGTATTGTGGTAGTTTCCTTCTAGATTCTTTTCTGTTTCTGATATTTACAGCATACTGTATTGTATTCTAAAGGGCTATACGTTTTGTGACATTTCAGGGATGGTACTTCATACACTAACAGTTCATTGCATGGACACCTAACAATTAAAACTGATGGTAGAAGTAGAAACTAAGTGAGCACGTCTGCTTGGGGGGCGCTGCTCACAGATAATCAGGGCTTTCAAATGAACATTCTGTAATATTGGTACACACTTCCAATTTGCATTACAGACATTTAGTTTGGTATGTACTAGCTCCCTGTTTTTCAGTTTTTAAGTTTTCTTTCTTAGTTAACCTGTTGATGAGTAGAATCCGTGATCCTTTATTATTTGCATGTTTCCATCTCTTTTTAAAATCTTTTCTAACACTGAGTTTGTCAATAGAGGACATTCACTTTATTCGAAAGACTTTATATTTTATTTCATACATCAGTGACAGGCCCTGCTGATTCCATGCCTGTGTGTGTAGCATCTTAGCATCAGTTTGTTCAAGAAAGAAGGTTCAAGAAGGAATATTCATCATTTCAAAGGATACTGGCCATTGCTGAAGCCATTACTTTTATTTAATAATAACAATTTTAAGTAGAAATTAAAGTTCTTTCTAATCTTCTAACAGTGATTTCATCATGATGTTGAATTCAATCGCATGTTTTCCAAATTATGTTTACATGATATTGTGTAACTATTGCCTTTAATACATTTATATAGTAGACTTTATTCAGTGTTTTTTTCTAATTTAGATCAACTTGCATTTCTGGGGATAAGTACATTCCCAATTTTTTCAAAATATGTTATTTTTAAAATATATGGATGGACTTCATAGTTTTTTTACTAATATTTTTAATCAATATAAATTGATTAAATTTGCTTGTTGTGTGCAATACTTATCAAATTTGGGTATTAAGGAGGGATAGGAAAGGGGAAATATTGGGAACTAAAATGGAGCAAAATATGCTATGTAGATATATAAAAATACCACTGTGAATTCTATTTTTTTATGTATCTATAAAGCACCAATTTAAACAAAAAAAAAAATAGAAGGGAAATCAGAAGAGCAGCGGAAGAGGAATGGGGGAAGAAAGGAAGGGAAGGGAAGGGAAAGAACAGGAGACTGAAGTGGAGCAAATTATATCCCACACATGCATGAATATATCAAAATGAGACTTAATTTCACATATAAGTATCATGCACTAAATAAAACATTTGGGCGAGGGTGGTAATGTGTTTTATACAAAGTCCATAAAAAAAGAATTGGAGATTCTCTTTCTCTCTTTCTCTCTATCTACCTATCTATATTCATATCTCATCTATCATCTATCTGTCTCCCTATTCTCTATTTCTCTACCCTGGATTAGCTTAGATACGATTGGGATTATATTTTGCTTCATAATTAATTTTATTAGTCACAGTAGAAAAATCATCTAATTTAAAGTTTCCATTGTAAGTAGGTTGAATATATGTTAGACATTCTCATTAACATCCAATTGTCTTAAACTTCATTGTGTATGTTTCATTTTCTTGCTGTAATTCTTTCTGTGCAATTCTTTCAAATCTACCTTTCATTCAATTTTAATTGTTTTTCTTAATCTGTTACCAAACCCCACTTTATTCATTTTTTATTTCAATTTTTTTTCTTATTTTAATTTGTAGATTTTTCTCGGCTAAAGTACTTCTTTTTTCATATTTTATGTGTCAATTGCATTTTTTGAAATATATGAAAAAAAAGCCTGTTTTATATTCTGGTTCTGGTAATTGCAATATATATGCATATATATTAAGATTTTACAAGACTACCTCCAAGGTCTCTTGTTTCTGCTGGTAGGTACATGCATTATCTCAGGTTCATAACTGTGGAGATTTCTCCTATGTCAGCTTCCCTTCTGTACATCCATCTGGGTCTCATCATATCACCCAGAGTGGGAGGTTGGTGAGTATGCAATCGATTTAGAATTTTTGTAAGTAATAACATTCTGCCTCATTCAGAAATCTTAGTTTTGATTTTAGGTTAAACATAAATAAAATTTGATGTTTTTCATTGTGAACTATTATTTTTTTCTTAAAATTTTTTGAGGCTTGGGTAAAATGAGCTTTTACATAAAATCTTTTTTCTTTCCTTTCTTCGGGTATGTAAGAAATTTCTGTAGTGGGGTAACTATACCAAATGGTTAAACAAAATAAATATTTTGTGATTTTTCCTTAAATGAGAACAAATAGGAAAATAAAATACAGCATCTAATGGTGATCTATTGATATAGCTATTGTAAATATTCTTATATCTTGAAAATTTTTTAGCCATCTTCTCATGATTAAAAGAGTGATCATGAGAAGTAGCTGGAAATGTTTACCAAAAGTCCAAATTATCTTCATATCATAAGAAGTAAGAACAGATAATTTATTGTGAGCTATTATTGAAAAATAATATCCCAGCTGGTCAGGGTTGTGGCTCAGTGGTAGAGAGAGCTCTTGCCTACCTTGTGTGAGGCTCTGGGTTCGATCCTCAGCACCACATTAAATAAATAAATAAACAAACAAATAAATAAATAAAATAAAGGTAGTGTGTCCATCTACAACTAAAATTTCAAAACAAATGTTTAAGAAATAATATTCAAGCTATAGAGGGTAAGAATAAAATAAAAGCCGTGTGATTTATAATCTAGATGGGAATTAGGTAGTATGCCTATAAAAAATCAACCACAAAATCCATCAAATTAACAGAGATGGAAATGAGGAAAACCACTTTTTAGAATAAAACTTGTGTTTTAAGATGGCTTTAAGGAGTATTCTGAGTCTTGGAAAGAAAATGAATATGGTAGTGAAGTACTCACATTCTTTGTAAAATAATGTAATATAATCCAAAGGTAGAATGGGATAATTTAAAGATAAGTTTTCAATTTCAAGATAAGCTACTAGTATAAATAGAAGAAAATTTCAACTTAAGAAAATGAAATATCAAAAAATACACAATACTGAATACAAGTCAGAAAGAGAGAAAAAAAAAGGAGATAACTGTAAAGCAGATGCATAACCAAACTTATCTAAAATTGCATTAAATATAAAAGTATTTAATTGTAACTAAATTAAGCAAAATTATTAAAATAAAAAACAGTTGTTTAAACACACACAAAAGCTATCCTGAATTGCAAATATGAACTTGTAAAGAATTTAGAAAGACTTTAGGAAGAAAATGTCAAATTCTAACAAAATAGGAAAACACATTAAATAAAATGGAATGCTGTGTCCTTTGAGATCAAAGGATAATGTCAATAATATGAAGCTCTCAAATCTAATTGAATATATGGGTAAATTTAATTCTAATTTATATCAGGTGTAAATTTCATGTGGAAATGGTTTTAATATATGAATGACGAAAATAAGATAGCTCACACAAGTATTCTTGATAAAAATTATGAAATATCAGACATTTTATCCTTCTTGCAAAGAAACAGGTTAGCCTACTATAGCTTAAGATGTTGGCCGAAGATACAAGGATCCTGGTTTAGAAACAAAGGATGCTATCCTATTTATGCTGGAATGCTGGTGTCTTTCTGGCAGTTGTTTAAGCTCTGGTTCCCACAAGGTGTCACACAGATGGCCAGGTGACAAGTGCTTAAGCAATTAGTTAATTATAGAAGAGGAAGGCTGAATTAGGGAACATAAAGACTTTATAATGGGCATTATGCTTGTCTTTCCTTTGTTCTGGAGGGAGAAGTATGCATGACTATCCTTGCTTCATAGAGAGGATCATATCTCCATCTTTTTAAGGCTCTTTACAGAAGCACTCTTTAAAAAGATAACCATAACATAAGGGCTGGAATTTACCCATACTTTAATTAAAAAAAAAAGTAATTTAAGCCTTACAGAAAGTTACAGGAATGGTTAAAGTAAGTTTCTAGGATTTTTAAACTTTCACTATGATTTACCCTTTAATGAATTTAAACACCTTTCTTCCCTTGCTCTCTATATCTCTTGTAACCATTTGATGATAATGGAATACATAATGCAGCACTCTGTTAATACTTAGTTATTCTAAAATAAAGCTGTACAGCCATCAAAATTAAGGAAATAAATATTTATGCTATACATCATTCTAATACAGAGACTATTTAATTTCACCAGTTGTTACAATATATTTCATGGACCTATGGCCTAATTAGCACCACACAGATGTTTAGTTGTCCTCTTCTTGTCATCTACTTAAAAATATATTCTTATTATAACCATATTTCCATCTTTAGCAGGCTGGCCCATACCACCATCTTTTTCCTAAAAACTTTCTTCCTAATTTCAAGAACTTTTCTTCTGATACACATATATATTTACACATAATATCCCCAAAATATTTGTGCCTTTTGTTTGAATAACAAATGTGTTGAATTTGGTAGGCAATTTTTTTTTTATTGGTTGTTCAAAACATTACAAAACTCTTGACATATCATATTTCATACTTTAGATTCAAGTGGGTTATGAGCAAATTTTAATTAAGTTCTTATTCATGTTGAATTATTTCAAACTGATATAGATTTTTTAAACAATGATATAATAAAACAAATACCAAAACAGTATTGACCATAGTCTGGATCCATACAAATATAAATAATTTTATTTTATGTTTCTAAGGAAAAGATGCACAAATATATTCACACTATATAATAAATTGCACCTAAATGACTTTTGCTTTTGAAATTCCAAAAGATTTCAAAGCTAAATATTCTTTTAATACTAAATTGAATTAAATTTCAATACTAATCATTAAATTATATGTATATATAGTATAAAGAAGAATTATAAAATGTTGCTCAGATAGCATCTGAAATAGGCCACTTCTGAAATATGGAATATTTCTTTCCAATGTCCAATGTCCAATGTCACCATCCTTTAACTACCCATCATACTATTACAGAAGAAAATGAAACCTGTAATGGTAAGTCAGCAAAGTTAACATGGTGTAAATTGTTTGTAATATATAAGTTAACAGATTATAAAATTTTCTTCACAAGTGGATAAGGACAAGTGCTCTGAAATTATCAGGGAAATATTTAAATAACCCCTCTCTGAAGCTTTTTCACATCAGGAACAATATAAACACAAATATAAATTAAGTAGAATATTTTTTTCAGTATGGGGGTATGGTAATTGTAGAAATGGAAACAAATCCAATTTTTTAGTGAAATTTGGGGAAAATAAAGTGTCACTGAAAACTTTTAAGACACCACTAGAACAATATTACTCTTTATGCAGACAAAAAGAAATGATACTCTCGTATCTTATCAGCATGAACAAGGCCAAAGGAAACAAGACACGTCTCAGGTTTCCACGTCATATAGATGCTCATATCCATGCTTGTGTTCTCATGGGAATCATAAGGCCTTAGACAACAAGCCAGTTGCATATTTTAGCATGTGCAGCACAAAGAATAAGCATCAAGCCTTGTTTGTAAGATAAACAATATATAGTAGCTTGAATCTTGAGTCATATGAACTGAGGTCTTAGAAAAACCAGAGCTCTGGGTTAATTTGAATGACATCTTGCTTCTATAAGGACAAATTATATAGCCTATATGTTTCACATTGCATATCTCTGAGGAAAAAAATGTGAAGCACATTATTACATGATTAAAATAAATGATCCATCTAGAAATACTCTATAAAGCCTTTATGATATTTTGATTTCTTGAAATTAATGTTTGCCTGATTTTTTCACTAAATATGAACACACAAGACATTCAAAACGAATGGAAATTTATAATTATGAATGTGGATATTATTGAAAAAATATACAGAAAAATGAAGTTGACCCAATACAGAGATATGAAAAAAATTGTAGGTAGTAGGTAGGTAGGTAAACAGATCAACAGATATGCAAATGGATGAATAGAAAGCAGAACTATATGGACAAAGAGAATGAGAGAGACTAAATAATCTGAAAGTATAAAAATGTTTGATAAATATTACCTATTTAGAATCCCATTTGTTTAAAGAAATCAACAATAAATATATTTTCACTAGGCCCTCCAAACCCCATGTCCATGCTCTTAGATTCCGTGTCTTCCCACTTAATGACTGTTGATAACCAGGCAGATGATTTGAATAAAATAAATTATGCCCTTTTAAGAAGAAGAAAAGGTATCTGAATAAAACTAAAGAAAAACTCATTGTTTAATATGCCCAAAGAGATTTCCTAACAAAGAAAAAGTAATTTCATTCATATACATAAACATAGTGGTAAGAATGTTATGTTTTCATTTATGTATGTGATGAATATTTTGCATTAAAATAAAATTTTTAATCACAGGACAAGTATTTATTTCATGATTGCCAAGCTAAGCTATGCCTTCAACATCCTATCACCTAGTTAAGTAGTCATAAAATAAAAACATGCCTTTTAATTAAAAAGAAAAATTTCCCTGTAGTACATCGATGTAGCAGTATCGATGTTCATAGCAGCACAATTCACAATTGCTAGACTGTGGAACCAACCCAGATGCCCTTCAATAGATGAATGGATAAAAAAAAATGTGGCATTTATACACCATGGAGTATTACGCAGCACTAAAAAATGACAAAATCATAGAATTTGCAGGGAAATGGATGGCACTAGAGCAGATTATGCTTAGTGAAGCCAGCCAATCCCTAAAAAACAAATACCAAATGTCTTCTTTGATATAATGAGAGCAACTAAGAACAGAGCAGGGAGGAAGAGCAGGAAGAAAAGATTAACATTAAACAGATACATGAGGTGGGATGGAAAGGGAGAGAAAAGGGAAATTGCATGGTAATGGAGGGAGACCCTCATTGTTATACAAAATTACATATAAGAGGTTGTGAGGGGAATGGGAAAATAAACAAGGAGAGATATGAATTACAGTGGATGGGGTAGAGAGAGAAGATGGGAGGGGAGGGAGGGGGGATGGTAGAGGATAGGAAAGGTAGCAGAATACAACAGTTACTAATAGGGCATTATGTAAAAATGTGGATGTGTAACCGATGTGATTCTGCAATCTGTATTTGGGGTAAAATTGGGAGTTCATAACCAACTTGAATCTAATGTATGAAATATGATATGTCAAGAGCTTTATAATGTTTTGAACAACCAATAAAAAAATTAAAAAAAAAAAAGAAAAATTTCAACACTTCGGGGCCTACAGATCGTTTCTGTACCAATAAATAGTACATTGGTCATATCAGATTATTATTTCCAGAAGTGTTAACAATTAAAGTGTTATTATATAATAATATGTATGAACTCAATAGTGAAAAATAAATTTCAGAGACCCTGGTAATTTATCCTAATATTTTAAAAGGGAAATACATGTAACACTTTGACACTTTTTATATTTTAAAAAGGAGGAGATCTGAAGTCTAAAATTAGTCTTGTTCTGTCATTTCAAATCATTGAAAAATATATTATGTTCATGGCCTTCACATGTCACTGCTTCAAAATATAGAATAATTTAGAGTTAAAGCAGGTCCCACCTATATTATTTTATTTGTTTAAAGACTGTGGAGAGAGGAGCCAAAGCATTTTTTTCCCTATCCAATTAATACGCATAAAGAGTGCACTCCAATATTGGTACATTGTCTATTAGTTAAAATGAAAGGATTGAGTATTTAAAGAAGGTAGCTTTGACTGTCTCTGTCAGTTAAAAGAGACCAAGGAATAGTGTCCATGTGGAATTTCAGCACTTTGGTGAAATGAAGAGTGCCTCTTGTGAGTTCTTCATTATTGTCATGTATTAAGTCAAAAATATTATCTCCACATCATTACATTGTACAAAGTATAAAACTTTGTACATGCTATCAAAGATTAAAACAGAAAATAATGCTTCTACTCCAACATCTGTAGATGGCTGGCATCTTATCAGTCACTTTTGTGAAGCCAAACACAATCTCTAGTTCAACCTAATATCAAGTAAATTACCGGAGAAGAATTTACGGAGCCATTAGATGGGGAATAGGCAAATAGGCCAATTGGGTTCAGCAGTGATCCCTGAATTAATTAATGTGCTTTATGAATTACCTAACTACGGAATGTAAATGTATGCTGATTTAGTCTGGAAATGAAGGCACCTTGTGATTTCAAATGTTAGCTTATATTAAATCAAAGAATTATTTAAACAAATGAGTCAGGTGTCAAAATAAGATACTGAAGAATGCCAGATGGCCCTACTCATCTTCTTCTAGTTAATGCCTATCAGTAACAAGAAAGATGATTTGAATAAAATAAATTGCGTCCCTTAAATAGGAAACTTATCCAATATGAAAAATGAAGATGGATTTAGTGTTTATTGTGCCCAAACAGATTTTCTGGCAAAGAAAAATAATCTCATTCATGTACATAACCACTCTGGTGAGAGTGGCATATGTTCTTATTTGAATATGTTCACATTCAAATATTTTAATCATTAACACCAAATATTAAACTACATAAAAGAGGTTTTTTCTTACATTTCTTAATAAAAATTGTAATAGATGAACTGAAAATCATGATAATTTTCTAAAAATCTCAGGTCCTTTGCTTCAACCTACCTCAATGATAAGAATGCAGTCAGTAACAAAATACAAAGCAATAAAAATCATTATTGACATAGTAAAATAATTCAGACTCTGATACCATCTTGGGTTTTCAGGAGAATTAAAGTGGTATTTCCCTGGAGTGTTGAAAAAGTCTGAGTCCAATTGTACTTCCAGCTCAGAATTAAGTTTATTCTGACTGAGTATCCTGTTCTATCTCTAGAGATGGCATGTCAGCACAATGTAGTATAAAGACTCCTGGCCAGGACCAAATGGGACATGGCTTCTGAGTGTCACTCTGCAGAAAATCTGTGTATCCTTGGGTAAGAACTCAAATATTCAAAATGTTTTATGATAAGAAAATATGGGTTGATCATTTTGTTATGAATAAATCATAATTAATCTTATATTAATTAAATTTACTGATTAATATGAAAATACTGTTTTATAAACAAAGAATACACAAATTGCTATGAAGACATTTTACAATATCCAGTGAAGTACAAGGTTAGGGAGCTGAAAGACATCTACTGTACTCGTTATGGATTGATTAAATGTAATGAAGATGTCAGTTCTTCAAAGAATAAACAAAGAAATCCCAATCAAATTTAAATGATTTTTCCTTTTTGAGGACTTTATTTTTCCAGCATTTGTATTAAAGCTTATGTAGCCAGTGATGGCTGAGACATTTTGGAGAAGAAGCTACTCCTGATCAGTTATTCCTGGATCATTGGAGCAGAAGAGGAAGTTCAAAAATAGAAGTATGCATGAAGAGAAATTGTGATATGGTAAAGATGGCAGTGATGGTACATGGTTCTGGGAAACTGGCTAACTCTGTATAAAAAAGAAATGCTGACTCCCTAGCTAATACAAATACCTAAAAAAATTAAGAACTATATGTAAGCAGTGAAATAAACAAGTCAAAGGAGAAAATTCAGATCAATATTATGATGCATTAGGTTAAGAAGAGGGTCTTTGGTAGGATGCCAAAACATAAAATAGGACTCAAGCAGTGGCACAGGCCTGTGATCTCAGCAATTTGGGAGAACAGGCAGGAGGATTGAGGAATTCAGCAAGGTCCTGTCTCACAATAAAACTAAAAAGGGCTGAGAATTTGGCTTAGTGTCTAAGTGTCCCTGGGTTCAATCCCCAGTATTAAAAATATAAAACAAAAACATTGATTATCTTGATGACCTTAGTGACATCATAGTCGTTATTTAATGAAAGATATCAAATATAAAAAAAAAAAACTCATGACAGTTTTTGAGATGATAGTTAAGATGCTAAAATTAATAAGTAATTAATGTTCAAAGCCAATCAGAAACTCCTGAAAATGAATGATCAAATTCTTTAATGAGAAAAAGGCATACAATTACAAAAGAACATGACTCTACTTTTCACAGAAGAGATAGCTAAAACCATTGTTCAATGTCATTTATACATTAAATGAATAATTATAAAATTAAATTAAATTTAAACAAAGCAATTGAGTTAAATGAATTTAAATACAACACAACTAAGATACATGTGTGTGCCTATCAGAATGGTGGTGAAAAGTAAGAACAATGGTCAATTACAAGAGCTGTTGAGATAAGCAAAAGCAGCCGTGATGTCGCCTACTACTGGAGAAAGTAGAAGTTCCCATAGAAAAGATTTCATATTTACCATAGTAGTCGTAGTTAATGAAATTATAACCAATTACACTGTTTCATGTAATTTGAGCTTTATCACAGCATAATTCAAGTATAACTTAGTGATTAAAGATATTTCTGAATTTATCTCAGATGACTCTCCACGTATCCACTTACTGCTACTTTGCAATCTACTGAATCTCTTCTGTGTCCCCGTTTCATATTTTGAAATTTCAGGATAGGATAGGAATAGCATTTGCCTTAACAACAACAACAAAAAAAAGACTTACAAAAAATAATTAGTTTATAAATGTAGTTGGAAAAAATTGTAGTAAATATAAGCAAAAAAGAAAGTATGAGCTAGGAAATGGACAGGCATGTGCACCAGGGAATTTGCAGAGCAAGGTGTTAGAGCATCCTTGGTACCCACCAGTAAGCAATGCAAAAACAATGTGGCTGGTGTACAGCACAGAATATTAGGTCAATGGCAACACTACTAATATTCAGAACAAAGAGATCTTACATTTTTCAAGTGAATTTATTTGAGTAAAAAAACTAATGTCAGACTTTCTGTTCTAGTTCAGACGTAGAAACCTCAGAAGTTATCACTTTCATCTCTACAAGAAGAAATTGAAGACATTGAACATCACTAAGATGAGAGCATAGATGCCACAAGATGAGATTTCACCCCAATATCTGGAGAGTGAAGAAGGTACTGAGAGTCCCTTGGTCCCAGGTATAGAAGCTCTCCAATGGAACCAGGGATAGCAGTATTATTTACAATAGTGCCGCATACAGAACTCTAAAATCTCAACAGGAAAAAAAAAAAAAGATCCAAGTAAAAAGTAAACCAAGAATCCTAAATGATAGCTTACCAAGAAGCTATAGAAAGGCAAGATGTGAAAGAAGCCTAACATTATATGTCATTAGAGAACTACAAAGTAAAAGAATGAGAATACCATTAAATACCTGTACAATGGCCAGAATCTAAAAGACACTGATACCACCAAAGACTCATGAGAATTCGGAACAAGACCCTCGTTCACTGCTGGTGTGGATAACACTGAAAAATGTTTTGACTTTTTTTTTTAACAAAACAAAACCCTCATTACTCAATGCCACATAAAAACACTTCTTTATATGTACTCAAATGGCTAAGAAATGTAGGTCCACAGAGAAGTTTATTCACAAGGTCAAAACTTGGAGACACACAGATGTCCTTTTATGAATGGATAAATGAATTGTGGTACGTTCATAAAATGGAAAGCTATTCAGCCACAAAAAGAAATAAAGTATCAATCTGTAAAACACTTGAAGGGAATTAAATGCATACTGCTAACTGAAAGAAGCCAGTCTGGAATGCCTATAAACAGTAATATTCCAACCATATGGTATTTTCAAAAAGACAACATTATAAGACCATAAAAAGTCCGTGATTTCTCAGTTTGGAGGAATAAGAGGGAAGAATAAATTGGTAGAACACATGGAATCTTTTGAGTTGTGGAAACTACTCTGTTTGATATTACTATGGTGACCCCGATACTGTGCTCTTATTAAAATCAATAGTACTGTACAATGCTGAGTCAATCTCAATTTAAACTATAGATTTCACTTAATAATAATGCACTAATACTAGTTTATTAGTCATAATAAATGTTCTTCTCTGTTGCAAGTTATTAGGGTAATCTGAGGGTAGAGGCTGATATGTGTGAGCTCTAGGTAAGTTCTGCACCATTTATCTGTAATACCGCTTTAAAATGAAATTTTATTAATTAAAACTATCAAGAAAGAAGCACGTATTATATAACTATATGTAATAATGAGGATTAAATGAAGAAAATAAAGATATGTACAAAAATAAAGATATATACATTATGATGACATACATATCAAAATAATTAGAATGGATAAGAGAGGAAATAAGAGTCAATGATGAGAAAGAAAACAGTAAGAGAAGGGTTGGTGATTAAATATAAGGTGTTATTAATATAGGGGACATATTAATAACATTTCTTTTTTATTGTTATTTTTTATTTACATATGACAGTGGAATGCATTACAATTCATATTACACAAAAAGAGCACAAATTTTTCATATCTCTGGTTGTATACAAAGAATATTCACCCCACATTTCTCTGCCTAAGGATTCACAAAGACAAAAACTCCTAAGAATTACTTCTGCACTTTTAATATTGACAACCTGACCATCCATTGTAATAAAAGAAAGTTCGCTCTTGTTTGGAAAGTTTATAAAGTATAAATAACAAGGGAAAAGGAAGAGGCAAGCAGGTAGGAGGGAAACAGGACCAGATCTCCTGTTTCCAAGGAAGGACTTAATTTTGGTAACATTGTTAAGCTGCTAAGAGCCCTGGGTGACACAGCATTGCAGCTTGTCAGGATGCCTGTACTCCCTTTAAATCACTTCGGTACTGATAGTATGGCACAGGCACTTGTCAATTACTCTCACCTTGAGTTTCAGTAAGCCAGTTGCAGTAATCAAAAATGAATAGTGCAGGGACACTAAGTGGTCATGTAAGAATGTACCTTCTGGGATGGTCATCTAGTTTTATATAAGGCAGGTTATACATGAAGAGATGTCTGATGCCAGATTCTTTGAAATCCTTGTCTTGATCAACAAGTGACAAACAAGTTAGCATTCAATGATAAAAATGACTTCTTCATTATTATGATGAACCATGATAAGCTCTTTTTAGTGAACTTCAGAGCTCTTTTTTGGATGCTCAGCACATGTGCACAAGTTGAAACAGTTTGGAGGCTTTGCCTACTTTTAAGGAACCATGTGTAAAAATATTTCTCAATCTCAACGTTGTCACTGGAGGCTCCATCCTATAATGTCCAGCACAGGGTTATTGTGCTACATCCTGGAATAGGTTTTCATTTCTGATAGATGCTGCTTATAGAAGAAAACAGGATCCTGCATCAGCAATGTTTGTCTGCCTCATGAAGGTATGACCATATCACCTAAAGGGAGAGAGGGCTAACAACTTTTTATTAGAAAAAACAGGTTTATAAACTGCTATGAGCCATGTTTGCTTACAAATATTTAATAAATACTAGCATGGGTGCCAGAATTTGACCAGAGACTTTGCTCATTGTAACCTCATGGCAGCTGTAGAGGAGTGTAAAATTGACAGGGTTTAAGGACACAAGTGTAATAAAGCACCTCAGAACATCAAGTATAATGTGAAATTATAGATCCTTGGATTTAGCTACAGGAGTATTTGAGTGATGTGGTAAAAGAGGTTTCAGAATTGTGGGGAATTGAAACAGAAGATAAGATTGTACAACAGCAAAATGTTAACTCTCTGAGCCAGTGTGATGCAAGCAGGAGGTTTGCCCAACTGCTTTGCCTGAGATACAGAGCAACCTGGCAGGGGGTAGCTCCCCCAGTGAGAGAGGTCACATCCAGGCCACAACCAATTCAACTTCCCAGGGAAGTCAGGGTTCCCTCCCTCAGGCATGAGAAGCCCCATGTGCCCTGAAGGACTTGGGGTGCTAAGCAGCTGGCATACCACACAGTGCCTGGTAATATCCGAGCACATATGTCTACACTGTCAGATGTGAAATAGTGTGTCTCTATACTGACAAGGTGTTTCCTACTTTGAGATAAAGGTGAAAGTGACCTACATACCCCTCAGTCTGAAACAGGGCAGAATGAGAGGCCCAAGCTGTCTCTTTTCTTGTGAACCTTTCCCATGTGTATATCTGCTTTTTTTTTTTTAAGAGAGAGAGAGAAAAAAATCTTTTTTTAATATTTATTTTTTTAGTTTTTGGCAGACACAACATCTTTGTTTGTATTTGGTGCTGAGGATCGAACCCAGGCTGCACACATGCCAGGCGAGCGCGCTACTACTTGAGCCGCATCCCCAGCCCTATATCTGCTTTTAATATAAAAGTTATCCCTTATCTCACATCAGGTAGTGGAGTTTAATGTGCAGCAGGTGACAGGGAATGGGTATGAGAGTACTATGTGAGTAATGTAAGATGGAAATTGAGTCATAGGGGGTTTCACTGTTGGCAATAGCCCATGACTTATTTTATAGGCTAAAACAGTAAATATATTTGGATATTAATGGAAAGTAGTCAAGAAAATAGAAAATGTTGAAGAACATTAAAGCTGCTGAACAATCAATAGAAAACAAGAAAGAAAGAGGCCACTCTATCTAGGACACAAACAGGAAAGGACATAGACAGGTAGATAACTCTCCTACAAATCAAGGGTTGAGCCAGCTGCCAAAGCTGTGTCATGAGAAGAGTTTAAGGAAGACCCCTTTCATGTTCAGTTCTCCTAATACCTCAGGCAATTTCTAATGTTCTCTTTGGTAGGCCAGATTAAGTTATGTGTTTTCCTCAACCTAATTTTTGTGGACAAGGAATGTGCCACTCAGCCTTTGCTCTGAGTCTGACTTGCGGATCTGTACCTAAGCCAATCTCTCTGCAAGAAGAATGGAAACACACTGTATCAACAGGGCAACGCTAGCTGCTGTAACAAGCACAGTGCACAGAAAAAAAAGGGGGGGATGATTTCTGGCTACAGGAAATCCAAGTCTTTGTTATTGTCAGGTCTCTCTCCCCTGATTGACAATTTAGGAATTTTAGCTGTCTTAATCCCTTTATGCTTCTTTTATAAAATATTACATATTGTGTAATTTGTAAAGATTGGTAATCTATTTTTTTACAGTTCTTGAGGCTACAAAGTCCCAAACTGAGGCACTGGTATTTAGGGTCTATTGAGAGTCTCATCACCGATTCTCACATAGCAGAAGAGATGGAAGAACAATGAAAAGGGAACAGATGCTGTTTCCTCACATGGCAGAAGAGAGGAAAACACTCAAGCCCTTTTATCAGCTCCTGCTACCATTGATGAGGCTTCTGCCTTTAGGACTTAGTCACCTTCTATGGGCTCCATCGCTGATTAGTCTCCTTCAGGCCACTGAGTTTCATCAGCACATGGGTTTGGAGGGACACAATCGGACCATAGCAAGCTCTGTGTGTCTGTGCCTTCACGGTCATCCAGGAAAATGTGCACGGTTGCATTGCACATGTGAATTAAACTGGTGGGAAGAGAAATTGCAGAAAGGTCCAGCCTTCTTAACTACATTGTCTAGAAAGGGCATGTTCACTTGTGCCTACCTTGTGCTGAGGACAACTGAGCTCATGGTCTTTTCTAGACGTGGGATTATTTTGACTGCAGTCCCTGTTGGGACAGATCCTTCTGTTACCACTTGCATTCTGTGGGGTGTGGAAGAGAGAGGGTTACAGACAGCCACTTCCACAGCATGCAGTAGCATAACTCTAGACTATACTTTGAACTGGTACTGGGTCCAAGGTCACCAAAAGGACATCAGTATCACAAGGTGGTGGTGGATAAAATGAATGTGAGAAAAATAACACGTGAAGTTTCCTATGTCCTTTTATGTTTTTCATACAACTATTTTGAAGAATATACTAATGAAAGGGGAAGGCCAGAGTTGATGAGGAAAAATAAAACAACAACCACAAACAAAACCTTAAAAATATATGACCTTATTTTTGTCATTGTTATGTTATTACTTACCACAGTTATTAAGGAAGCAGAGGTATTTAGAGATTCAAAGATGTATCTCTGAAAATTAAAAAGAGTAGTAAAGCACAGTTTATTAAAACCTTGCTATTTAAAAAAAAAAAAAGTTGTCCTAGATATAATCTGGAAAAGTGGAGGGAAATCTTTGTCGATGAATAGAATTTTTCTTTATGAACTTCAGGTGAATTTGGAGCTAACAAATATTCATGAAAAAATATATATAAAAGCATTCAAATGACATAGCATAAGCATATCTTTATAAATTAAATATTGAGTTAAGATGAGGGTGTATACAGGAATCATATCATAGTAATCAAGGAATAGTTTTCAGAAAAGAAAAATAAAAGAATCCGTTACTGGAGAGGAGTTTTGAGGGAAGGAATGATGAAACATTTTAAGCAAGAATAAATTTGATGATCTGGGATAAATAAACTTATTATCTAGGGTAAAAATGAGCATCATTTTTAAAATTATTAAATTTTACATGAAATGTGGATACAGTGAATTAAAAATAGTATTAAAGCACAGTTTATTAAAACCTTGCTATTTCAAAAAAAAGTTGTCCTAGATATAATCTGGAAAAGTGGAGGGATATAAAATTAGAATATTTCTGATATTAAGAATCAAAATAATTACTATCATAGGCTTAATATATGTGAACTACATTTCAACAATAAATAAGACAATTTTAATGTCACTAACATCAGAAGGAATAATATGTCTTTTTAGAATCAAATAGTATTAATACAAGACTATGCAGTTTATTAGAATGTAATGTTTGGTTTTTATGAATAAATCAGGCAAAATTAACCAAATGCCCTATGTGTCTTTAGTTATAGAACACACACACACCAAAAATATGCTTATATTTTGAAATATTATTAGGATGACACTTCTAAAAATCACACATGAAAACTGACCACATCAATGTGAAATTTCCTTACAGGAAACTGTGCCTACTACCACCTACCACATATACATGTTATCAATCCTCAATTATTTAAAAGCTACATTCAAAGCAAAATGAAATTTAAGAATTCAAATACAATTAACATAAATTAAATTTTAATATACTGTTATTTTTTAGGTTGTTCAAATTATCACTTCCCGTGTGCTAGTTCCTTGGGACCACAAAAATTTTGATTTTAATACCATTGTTTACTCTGTATATTTTTCAAATGAATTTGGCTCAGATAAGAATAGAAAGTTAATTATGCAAGTTTATATCAGTCTGTAGTTAATAAAACTGTGAATTCCACTTTCACATTTACTTTATGGATTTAAAAAATAAGCATTCAGATAACATCATATGGAGCCCTAGGATTACTGTTGATGTTTTTTTAAAGGTTCTGCTCTATTATTCCTTTAAGATGGAAGAATTCTTAAGTTTTCTGTCTCTTAGCATAATTACACACACATACACACAAACACACACATTTATCTGAAGAAGACAGTCATGAATGATGTACTTTGTGTTCTGTGACAATGCTGGATTTATGATTAGTGTATCATGGTTTGAATGCATTCGCTAAAGGACATATTTATACCTGTATTAAAAGGATTCTAAGAAATCTGTATAATGTAAGTAAATATCCAAACTTTGGCCATGTTTGGGTCCTTTGAAGGACTCCACATAGGTTTAATCATACAGATTTGTTATACCTAATGTCTGGAGGGTAGATTTGTTCTGATTGGCCAATATGCACGCATTCTGATTGTTAAATGTGTAAAAAATCATCCTTGAACCAGCTCATTGCAGAACATTTCATCCACTGACTTTATATCAGAAATATTCAAGTTTCATTGAGTTCAAATAAATAAATATATACAGAACACGATCTCCAAATTATGATGGTTCAAAGCACAAACTTTCTTTCTCTGTTATTTCAGTGTTCAATAAATCGCATGATATATTCAACACTTTATTATAAAATAGGCTTAGTGTTAAACAATTTTGCCAAACTGCAAGGTCGTGTAAACATTGTGAGCATATTTAAGGTAGGCCAGGCCAAGTCATGATGTTCAGTAAGTTAGATATATTAAATGCATTTTTTATTTACATTATTTTCAACTTATAAAAGGATTATTAGGACATAGATCACAAAAAATATTGTATTTATTTGTTTGAATATATATACATAGAAATATGAACACACACATACACACATATGGAACCTACAATAAGTATTGCCTCATGAGCTATCTTTAATATATTTTCTTTCTAATTTATACAAGAGGATATGAATATATTTATACATTGATTCTGAAGTAATATGAACATTTCAAAAATCACATTATTCTGTTTCACATAATTCTTTTGCATAAATGCCAAAATATGCTTTCAGAAAAAAGCAGAGTGGCTTAAAATAATAAACTGGACTTTTCTGTTGAAATTCATTGTAATTCTGATGCTGTTTGAAGTTTATCACACTGACTTCATTGTGTCCATTATGGAAGTATAAATTCTGAGAAAGGTTTATATTACTCAGACTTAATAGTAAAATAACTAAATGTGCCATTAGGGCGCTTAAAATTTATCCATTACTAAATTTAATTCACTATATTTAGTTATAATTAGTTCAGATAATGGTATGACAAAGAGCTAACATTACAAAAGGAAGAATAAAAAAAGCTCTTGTGAGCTCAACTGGCCTAAAAGCCTGAGCTTAAGTCAGTTTATTAGCACATTTCCTTAGTGCTGTGCTGGACATTGCTCTAGGGGTATGTCAGTAAGCAACCAATGCTAATGTAGCCTGCAGACAGTTTGCATTTCAGTTGTGACTGATTAGCAATAAAATCAAACAAACTACAACAGTTACATACAATTGACCTGGGAAACAGTAAAGCACCCTGTCACTCCTTCTCCAAACTGCTAAGAGAGCATTCTTAGCAGTTGAACTTATTTCCTTGTTCATACATTTTAATTTTGCATATTTTTTAGATAAAATAAAATTAATTTTCTTATAAACCCCTCATATAAATAAATCATTGCCCTTGAACATTTTGCCTTAAACTTTTATATATAAGAATTCGAAGTTTGCAC